CATATAGTTACTATGACCTAGTAGCTTTATCAGCTATCAAGGGTTGCTGTTTCTTTTCTGAGAGTGTCTATTTCTCATTTCACACAGAGAAGCTGAAAGCAAATCTGCTAGGAGAGGTGACTGCTCTTAGTCTCCAGGAACCTCCTGACAGGTTGATGCTGGAGCGGGAAACGAGGGCAACCGTGGGAAGGGGCGGGGAGAGCACAGTCAACTGGAAGTCTGGATGGCCTGCTGGGGTGGGGCTTCTCAGTGGGCCAGCCATGGAAGAGCCGGTTACTTATGCCAGGCTTCAGCATCAGCTCCCCCACTTGCTCACCACAATGGGATTTCATCTTGCTAGTACAATCACATTTGTTTGTACAATGTTGTTTAAGAGGATAAACTGGGATGGTTTTATTAATTTCCATAGGATGTATTTTAAATGCTGCCTTTCGTAATCAGATTTTACATTCTACTTTCAATTTTAAATCTACACTTGGACACCCTAATCCAGACTGAAGCCATTAACCTGAATAGTTTTGCCTTTGGCTTGAGACAGAGATTACATTTTGACTTCCTGGGGCTGGGTCCATTTTTTCTCTTTGTTGCAAATTTGCAATAACTTGATAGATATCTTGATGGACATAAGGAGTACAGCTGATAGACATCCTGGACATGCTGAGGATGCCCCTCCACGCCCATATTTCCAAAACTTCACATTTCTATTTCTCAGCCAATGGTATTTAATGTCTGTGAAGGTGACTAGAGCAGGGGTGCCGAGCCCTTCCAGCCTAGGGGCTGCTTTTTATGTTGGAGAAGCCCTCAGATTCCATGCTGGATAGGGCCAAAGGCAAAAGGTAGAGTAAAAATACCAGTATATTTTAGTTGAAAACTGCTACTTCTAGGTAGGAAAAGCATTTCAAACTTGAAAAATATTTGGTGGGGGGAGTTTCAAATTTCAAGGTTGCCTGGTGAAGTTTCTCAGGTAGAGTGTGAGAATCAGTCTGCTTTACAGGGGATGGAAGGGCCCCATTCATGCCATCTTGTCCTCCAGCAGCAAGAGTCACCCTGAGGGTGGAGTCAGAAGCTTTATTGAAAAGGAGGGACAGAAGGAAAGTTTCCAGTTTGGAATCAATGCTGTATATGGGCAGATATTTCTCCCTTGACTTTGCTAGAAGCCTATTTAGAGTTCATACTATTCTGTAATTGCTGGGGTTCAATAAAAGAACCCAGAGTGTTTCGAACCCAGAGGTTCAACACCCCACATCTAGGATGAGGCCCTTCCAAATAAGATAGCATCCAAAATAATTTTCCCCTACTGCTCACTTTGGAAAAATAAAGCAGTGTGAGGTGAACTAACAGCCATCAGTCTGTTGAATAAAGGAAGATTAATTTAATTGACTGGCCCACCTGAAGGTCCCCCTGTTTTATTTCATTTCTATTTTAGCATTTCTGCACAATTGTCTGTGAAAAAGCAGCCAGATTTCATGGCTTCACTGGAAGCTTGAAGTTGTGGAATTGTCATTAAGAATGAAAGAGGAAGCATGCTGTAGCTATATTTTATGAAGTAAGACTAATGGCTGGATTGACTGAATCACAAGAGCTTCCAGACCCTCTAAGAACATACCAGGTTCACAATCCCAACCTCACCACCCACAGAGAAAAGTTTTCCAGTAAGCCTGTACTGGGGACTTTTCCCTGTCCTTTCCATAGCACAAACACTTCTTTTGAGAAGTTCAAGAGGGATTGATTAGTCTCTTCCTCTTTTTTTGCATGGAAACCTGGAAGTAGGATCCAACTTTCCCCAGCACTTATGATATTGCACTGGCATAAACTATGTAAATCGTGTTTGCTAAGGCAAAGGGGGAAAGTGGCTGTTTCCCATTTACCCAGTAAGCACTAGCTTCTGTTGAGCGAAGGGTCATTTACTCTAGCAGCAAATCATCAGCGTTAGCACTGGGGGGTGGCTGGATCCTACCTGTGCTTCAAAGATAGAAATGACAATTAGGGCCATTCAGCCACCCAGGCAAAAGTTAGCACATCCACAGCTGCAGTATGAAGAAGACAATCTTTTACCAGCTAAGGCCTCTCATATCTTGAATGCCTGGAGTTCTTTGGTATTTTTTAAAATAAAAGAAACTTAATTTTTTCTTCCATACAATAAAATCCGGTCAGTACAGCTAATCCCTGGGGAAATCCAAAGTATAAGCCCCAGAACAGCAAACAAGTGCATGGTCAAAAGCATGTAATCAAGATGAAGGCCTCTTTAGACTGAGATTACACAGTCCATTGCCTGCGATCACAAGCAAGGATGACAAGAACCCAAGTTCATAGTCATCTGACTTTGCAAAGCTTAACAAAACATGGTTAACAATCCAACAGAAATCAAGAACTAGCCTGGATTGCAAAAGTCAGCTTTATTTTTGTGCCTTGGATTTGCGGTAGATTAAATAATTGAAAAGGCTAGGCTATTAGGTCACAATTTCTATGTTACAGCTGTCCAGCACAAGTTGACAGACACTCCACATGGCCTGTTGATTGAATCAGAGAGGCAGAGAAAATCTCTGTGGGTAGCAGAGCAACAGTTGATGAAATGCAAAAGGGAACAGGATCAAATTGAAAAAAAACACCCAGCATTTATAAGGCTTCAGTTAGGATATGTCCTATGGCAGCTACAATTGCATTTTCTCAACAGATGCAATGATGTCCTTGCTGCAGTGTTCCTAAGCACTATAACGACGTGGCTAGAAAGGAATTGCTGAGGCTTCTGCATTCTTGAAGAGTGAATGGCCATGAAAGGTAAGATTTATTTTTATGCAAATCTACTCTGAGGGATTCTATCTTCCAAAGAAACATACTCTGAACATCTTAGCCATTCAATAATTATGAGTTCTTGAAGTTGTTTACTTTTTTCTTTCTTTGAAGATTTCTTGCGTGTTAGACAAACTGATACATAATGCACCTCACATAAAATATCTGTAGGTTCAATTGAAACACCATCTCTTTCTGAATGAAGTTTAAGAAATGTTGCAGAAGATAAACTTGAGATCTCTGGAAGTTAATGGCTTCATGTAAAGGTTGGAAGGATCAGTTGGGAATTCAATGTTCTTAAATATCTGTATCCTGTTAGTAATCCTAATTTCAATTTTAAATTCAGTGGTTTTTCCACATTCCTGCAAATCTGAATAACATTTGTTGTGAAGCACAAGTCAGTTCATTTTCCCTAAGAAGCCCTTTCATTTCAGTGGAATTTACTCTCAAGTAGATATTCACAAGACTGAAATCCTTAGAGGCTTCTGCTTAGAAATTAGTGATATTACTAAACAGCTTCAGGAACCACTTACAGAAAGAGACAGAAAGGTTTGATTAATCTGCTATATGCAGACCATGCACATTATGATTCTTACACATGATTGCTTTTCTGCATTCATGCCTGTCATCAATGACAGAAGAGAAATATTGATTATAAATGTACTTGGACTCATTGTATTACTTGGACCAGTGCAAGCACCTGCAGGATCATTTTAAGAAAGTACCTCATTAACTTTTTAAGCAAAGTAACACATTCAAGAAGCTTTTATTTGAGGTTCTTATTTGCTGTGCTCGTAATAGATCGGCTTCTTTTTAAAGTTTCTTACTGCATTGAATGTAATTTTGTTATACCAACTGTCATTTTCTTGTCCACCACCTTGAGCACTGTATTTTGCAAAAGGTTGAGATCAAATTTAATAACTGAGAATGAAAGATGTTAGAAAATGCACACGAAGAACCTACACAAATATCCAAGTGCGATCCCATTAATGTTTGCCAAGGCAGCCCCACACTAAGCCCCACTGTGTCCAGTACTTACACCCAGGTATGTAAAGGAGTGTTGCAACTCGATATACGTATGCCTGGGAGAAAGTTCCATTTAAGTCAGGGAAGCTTCCTTCTGAGTAGACATGCATAGGACTGCACAGAAAATGAAACACAGTTTGAAAGGCTATGAGTAAGATGAAATTAAGAGGCTTACAATTATCTGTTAAAATACAAGAATTACTAGGTCTTGCTGTGGCGTAGTGTTCAAAATGTATTTTTATAAGGTCTGATTCAAGTGTGCCTTAGTTGGTCAATCCACAGGGCTCAGCTCACTCAAATGCATATAGGTTATCCCATTAATTTCATGGTACAACCTATTTAGATTGGAAAGGAATTCATTGAAATACACAAAGAAGCTCTTGAGGACAGGAAAGCTCCCAAGGTATTAAGAATTTACTAGATCAGGATGACTGATTAATCCTGTAGATCACATGATGAAATGTAAGAAATTGAGTAAGACTTATTGAAGAAAATGAGACCACTCATAGGCTTAAAGTTAATCACTAGCTTACATGCTTTGTACAACCATAGTTAAACTGCTTGATATTTTTGAGTGACTAGCCCAGCCTCCCCAAACCAGTTGGCCTCCATATATTTTGGACTACAGCTCCCATAATCCTTGACCACTAACCATGCTGGCTTGGTTTAACAGTTACTGTACAGAAACACAAGGACAGCATCAGACTGGGAAAGGCTGAACCAGTCAATGCTTGGTGAATTTCACCAGTGAATGAATTACATGAATTAAAAAACCTTTAAATAGATGTTGACCCTGCAAGTTTTAGCATAACAAAGTTTGTTCTAAACATTATTATTGATAAGCAATAAAATTATAGCTCTGTATCACTGAATACATGCAACTGAATGTTCTCCAGCCTTTTTCATGTTTTCAGTATGTTTATAATCAATTGAGATCTTTTATAAACTCTTATTTTGTTGGATGCTGTCCTCAGAATAGATATGTGTACTTCTGATAAACTTATAGAAAGTAGCTCCATTGAAATACACTTGAGGCCATTTCCCATTTACAAGACATGAAGGTTCGCAAATTTTAGCTACAATTCAGTTCTCTATGCAAATATGCAGCTATTACCCACCATGAATCTATTGTTCAGGAAATGCATCTCTTGAATATGCCTGATACTTCTTTTCTTATTGTACAGGTTCATTTATTTTCATTTCAAGTGTCCTCATTCTAACAGATGTGGGGAGTAGCTGTCCTTCAAACTGTCTATGCCATCACTTTTCCAAGACAGTAGACTGCAGGAATCGTGGACTTCTTGAAGTTCCTTCCCATTTACCTGCTGAAACTCAGATACTACTTTTGTCAAATAATCGCATTCAGAAAATCAGCCCAAGTGCTTTCACTGGCCCACTGTCTCTCAAGGTTCTGGACTTATCCAATAATTCTCTCTCAGTTCTGTTGCCCAGCACTTTCAAAGGAATGAGACATCTACAGATTCTAAACCTAACTAAAAACATCATTGAATATGTGGACAACAAGACATTTTGTTCCCTTCCACATCTAAAAGAGCTGGATTTATCATCCAACAAGATATTAAGTCTTCCTCAAACTCTAGGAAATAACACAAGAAACATCACATTATTGTCTCTGAAACATAACAAACTTCAGAAAGTAGACAGACTTCTGTTTGAATCTCTCCCAAATCTGAAAGTGGTTCTTTTTAAGGAGAACTACTGGCAATGCAACTGTCAGGTGTTCGGCCTTAAATTATGGCTGGAGAATTTTTTATATCGAGGTAAGTAAATTTTCTCTATTACACATATACTGTGTCCAGCAAATGGTGCCCTGATATCTCACTGTATTTAGTATAGCTTCAATCAAGGAAGCATCTAATCAAAGGTACAATTGCCTGTGCTTGCAGTTGGGCGGGTGAATATCAATGATTTGTTGTCCATAGCATGCAAACTTCCTATACTTCTTTTTCTAGAGGAGAGAGCAATCCATGGCCAAAACATTGCTTGGATCCACTACTACAAGGACAGAAAATGGCTCTAAGCACGTAGCTGGGCACTTTTGGAGCCTCTCTTGGCTTCACAGCTGCTACAGAAAGAATGGCTCTGGCTGCATTTCCAGGGCTTGGGGTGGGGGTTCCAGAGTGAGGGGAAGGAGAGAGATGGGTGCCTAGGTATGAGGACACCACCTTCTTTGCTCCTGCACTGAAATGTACCACTTAAACTGAGGAAACTGGCTGGCTAAGTATAAGCCGGGAGGCACAGGGCCAGATCTGCGTCCCTGCTGCCCTGCCTAGGATACCTCTGAGTCTGGAGGGTTAATTGGCATCCTGATGGGACTGCACCATAGCATAGGTATTATATTATGATAGTTGCTTTAGCAAGTATATCAAGTCTTTGGGCGTGTTTTCATGTATGTGTTTCTCTCAAATGTTTCAGTGTGACAGCTGGGTATTGTAATAATTTCCATCTGATTGCTTGCTTGATGTTAAAGAAACCACTTGGCTACTTTGGATTTCTAAGTTGTAGAAGAGTTATAAGGCTTCACCCTTAAATGTAGCCTAAAAATAATTTCAAGAATCAATACATATTATGAAGATTCATGTGTATGTATATTTCTAAACCATCCAAAAACAAAAATGTAAAGTATAAATTGCATCAAAATAAAACCTACAGCAGGATAAAACAACAGCAGAGAAACATTCTGTCCTGCTGATGTTAAAATGTATCAAAAACATCTAGGACTGCCATCCTCTGGCCTCTAGAAGGGTGCCCCAGGGGTGGAACAATATTATTGGTCTTCCATTCAAGGCCACAGACTTTGGGATAGAAATCCCTGCTTGGATTTTCTACTCCCCCCTTTGCAGCAGCTACTCTTCTGAGGTTGCTGTGGTGAGCTTAGAAGAAGACAGACAGGGAAAACAGGGTGCGATGGCAAGCAGTGGGTGAAAGGCCACAGGTCAACTGGACCCAACACTGGAACTGCTTGTTGACTGGACCAAGCCAGACATCTGTATGGACTTTGTAGGACTTTTTCTTCTGAAAGTCATATACGGTTGCACCTTAAATTGTGCTTTGTTTATGAGTGTGCTTAGGATTGAAGTCTATGCATACTTATTAGAAGTAAGGCCTACTAAACTCAGTGGAGCTGCCCACTTCTATAAACATGTATTGGATTGGGGTGCCGAACACTAATTAGCTGGGATACTTATATGATTTTATAATATAGGTATTAGAATCATTACTTGAATTACTGGAGGTAGAGGGGAGATAGTACCATTACCTACTCTTTATAGAAGGATGGGTGAGGGTAACTGTTTGCCTAAAGTGGAGGAGAGAAAAGATCTGTCATGAACTTCTCCCTGCTTTTCACCCCATAATTTGAAAAACAAATGAAATATGCTTCCATGGTGGCCATCCCCTTCTTGGATCTTTGGATTGTTTTGAAAAAGCATAAGGTACTACTTTCCATCCTAGTTTCTTGGTATTCATTGGTGGAGTCATGCTCCACAACAGAGGTCTCTAGGGATTCTGAGGAACACAATGAATACATGATTAAATATATTGCAATTGCTCTACCTACAAAATAGCTTCACGCATTTATCTCAGGGAAGCAGGCGTTCCTTGACAAATTAATTATCCTTTTGTGCTTTGCATATCATCGAACTGTTCTGGTGCATGTTCATTTCTAACATGAAGCTATTTCCCAGGGTGTTTAAAGAATTGTTGTGAATTCCACTAATGTATTTACATTTTTTGAGCATTATGAACTTGCACAAAAGAACCGATCTGTTGTTAAGCATACCCATTCCTTTGCCAGATCTGCATTCACTGACACACACACACACACACACACACACAGACACTTATAGAGAGAGAGAGAGAGAGAGAGAGAGAGAGCGAGCGAGCGAGCGCACACTCCCTCACCTTTCTGTCCACCAGTTGATACTCTCCAAGGTTTCATTTCATTAATTGAAGAGATTTTAAAACATACATGCATAGAAGAGCATAAAACAACTCTGAGATAAGATAGATAACGAGATCTGGATATTACTCTTGCAGAAAGTCTAGTAAAACAAAGTCTTGTCACCTAACAACAAATGTCCAGTAATTTTGAACTTACTGGTTTATGGCCCAATCTTGCATGCCTGCTGGGAGTTGCAGGGTTCTTTTTCCATGAAAGTACTCATAAGGTTGCAGCCAAAGGGGCCCTTCAGACAACAATGCCCATTATTTCACTTGTATCAAGCAAAGCTGCAAGGGAGGGGTTGTTCAGGCTTTCACAAGCTGAAGCATTATGTCACTTATTTCCTTTCCTAAGTGCAACAGCAGCAATTATTCCAAGCTTGTCTTGCTCACCCCATTGCCTTCACAGATGAACATGCATGCTGCAAACCCAACTTCCCCAAGGAGAGTTTCTCCAGATGTCATGCTGACTGGGACAATTGGAGGTGTAGTGCAACAGATTTGGAAAGCACCAGTGTGGAGAAGTCTACACAACCTGATCTGATGCATATTTATTTAGAAATAAGTCCTAAAGTGTTCAATAGCTTATTGTTATTATGTCAGCCAAGTATAGCATTCATCAAACATTGCAGAATGCCTTTCATTCATTTTGGAAATGGGAAATGCTGGGGACAGGGCAACATCTTGCCAAAGAAAGATAGGTAAGCCAGGGAAGAGATGAGTATTAGTCTCATGGTGTGAATGAGGACAGCTCAGAGAAATACTCATCTGATAGCAAGAATACCATGTCCTTGTGGGAAATTAACCATGCACAAATAGTCTTCACCTATAATCCATCCATATGCAGAGGACACACCCTTCTACATTGAACTGATGACTCTAAAAGTAGTTGCGACTCGACACCACATGTATGCTGTCCTGTGAAAATACATTGAGATCTATCACTTACTGGGAAATGAAAGCTATTGCCTTAAATTGGAGTTTATTCAGGTCTGCTTGTGTTTGACTGCAGCCAAGCACCCAGAACTCATTTTGGCAGAGGCTTCACCCAGCTCAGTGGCTGAGAAACTGTGCTCCAGGAATGATGATGTCGCTAGTTCAGGAGTCGCCTTTGCAATGGACTCCATAGCTGGTTTTAGGCAAGCCACTCTCACTTTCTACCCCTTCCTTGCACTATAGTGAGAGTAACAAAGACTGAATTTACAGGGCTGTTAGAAGGAATACAGCATACTGCACTTTAAGGACTTTGGACATTTAAAGGCACTACCTATTGCTAAGTACTATTGCATCAAGACTTGGTCAGTACAGAGCATACACTTATAATATTTAGTTGATAGACAAAGTAATAGTTTGCTGAGCAAATTAATGAGTCAAAGAACTTAAAGGAAGAGATCAGGGGAATACAGGAGTACTTTCCACCTAAAATCCTGCAACCTTTGCAACACAAGTCATTACACTTTTTGTAAGGCAAGGCATGCTGGTGAATATAATTTTCAAGCAGGGGATATAAGGGATATCTTCTTACTGCCTATTAATCTCTCTGTCAAAGGGATATTAGACAAGCAATTTTCAATTAAAAATCAGCATAGCCACAAGCATTAAAGTTTAATGGTTAAGCAAAGAAGCAAGCCAACACAACATTTCCTTTTCCTTCCCTGCCGCCAACCACAAGGATCTTCAAGTACCAGAATTAGAGATTCCCCCACCAATTTCTTTTCTCAACTGGATAAAGATTATGCCAAACACACACACAACTTTAGAAGTATTTAGTTTTAAGGTGGTTGCCCAATTCCGGCATGTGTCATTGCACAGCCAGCCTTCCTACAAATAATAGTTACAGCTGCACAAGAAATGAGGCAAGGATGCATTTGGTCCTCATTGCTGCTTTGCTGCCCAACCTAAAGCTGTCGAAAGAACCCTGCCTGCATACTCAAGTGTTTCCACATGCATAAGAGCTGACTCGCTGCCTTGTCCTGAACTTTTTCTGCTCACCAGGGATGCTCTATAGGGTCTCTTGAGTTTTGAGAGTACTTTTTAGATACTCTGTTAGTGAGGAAGAGCCTCACACGCCCCAGGGTAGTGGAGGGTCTGCGTGTGCCCTTTGCATTCTGACCATCCTTTCAGTTTGCACCCATTAGGAGAAACCGTAGCAGGAAAGTGATATGATTGGTGGCATTTTTCACCATTTATACCTTATACCTCATTCTTAGAATTTTTTCCACGGTCAGGCTAGTTTCATATAAGGTAAGGGAAAGAAGTTTACATTTCATGCATTAGTCACAGCCTCCTCTCTTTCCCCCTGGACTTATTTGAGTTCTTTCCATTGTTATAAATTAACTATAAACAAACCTTCATTACATACTATTATCATTTAAAAATGGAAGTAAGAATCAGTTTCTATAGTACTGTGGTTAGCTGGTAGATTCAGCTCCTCTGACGTACAAAGGGCATAAGACAATCCTCTTTTTTCCAGGGGGAATCAGCGATGGTGTCATCTGCGCAACACCTGAAAATCGGAAGGGGAAAGACCTCCTCAAAATTCCCTACGAGCTGTTTAGGATCTGTCCTTATACGACTTCTGAAGCTCACCTGCACTACTCCGAGCACAGAAGTTCTCTGAAGTATGGCCACCACAATGACCATACAGGGGACGGCAGTCGCTCACACTGTGAACCGAAACCGAAGCCACGGCCCGTTAGCTTGCGTCACGCCATTGCCACGGTAGTAATAACTGGTGTGGTCTGTGGGATTGTATGTCTCATGATGTTGGCTGCCGCCGTGTATGGCTGCACTTATGCTGCAATTACAGCAAAATACCACCGGGAAAACTCACACTCGCCCCCTGGCAAGGAGAAGGGAAGTGTTGAGGAAAAAGAGCCATTTAAGAGTTCATTGGCTTGAATTACTGATTACTGTAAGCTTTCCAAAACAAATACTACTTTTCCCCAGTTATAAGAGTAGTGTTGGAATAGGACTGATTAGCTAATTGCTCTTGGGTTTTGGCTTTTCATATGCAAGACTGCTTGAATATAACTCTACACCTATAAAAGATATTTTGTAATTTGGATTCTCTACAGGGAACAAATGTATTCATCTAGTACATGTAAAGGTTAAACTAGGTGTTTCTTTACATCCTTAATGAGCAGCAAAACATTCTGCTAAGCCAGGGATGGGCAATGAATTGTGCTATGCAGCCCATCACTATCCTCCATGCCCTGAGAGCCCTACAATTTCTCTTCCTGTGACTCAGCCTAGCAGATCAGCTGGAAGAAAGGATCACTGCAGCATGAGAACAGACCTGGACACTGCTGTTTCCCCGTTGCTAATGGTGAGGGGTAAACAGTGATTCTGGAGGGGCTCACTTGAGGTGGCAAGCTCACGTAATCCCGGTAGTGCCAAGATCCTAGCTTTCTCACTGCTAATAGGGGCATGGCAACAACAAGCTCAGACAGGGCTGTCAAACATAGCACACTTTGGAGGGCTCTTCATTCAAGGGGCCACCATAAATTGGAGATGAATTGACGTCACATAATAACAAAAGCAACAATCTCAGAAGGGATCATTGGTGGATAGGAGAGGTTTTAACCTGCCTAGTCCCAGTGATTCTATCTTGATGGATAGGAAGGGATGGTTTGAAGATCAGGGGAACAATTTTTGAGTGTGCATGCTTATGCAGGTACATGTGCACACTTGTGTAAGTCCTGGCCTGCCATCTGGCATCCTACATGGACCCTGGATGTTGGCCATCCTTGCACTGAGCAGTCATTCCCCGTGCTCAGTGAAGATGAGAACTGGTATGAAAGGTTTCAAAAATACGTACATACATACATATGTGTGGTACATTAGATTCTGGGGAAGTATGGGTTGTTTCCTATCTTCTTGATTGAGGGTTGCAGCTTTGGCAGTAGTTATGTAATCCTGAAATCTATTGTGAGATGAAGCTCAGTGAATATACTGTAGAAATGAATGAATGAATTACATTAAAAGAGCAATTATCTGTGCAGCTGGCTGAACAGAGGAAGAATTCTAGCTAGAGGCCCTTTGTGCCAAGCATGGAAGTCCCTAATGGGGGAAAGGATCAAGCAATGCTTGCTTCTTTCCATGGAAGCCTTTTCCTTGTGAACTATGAGACTGGGACATGTGAGGTCACTGATATTCCCTGAATTCCATTTGGAGGCTTGATTTGTCTCATTTCTGTTCTTGATTGCACCCTGCTTTTTTCATTCAAATAGGAACATTTGCATTTTCAAAAATGTTTTCTTCAAAAATATACACTTTGCTCCCCATTGACTGTAGCATTTTTAAAAATCACATTTTCAAATGTGTGTTTTTCAAAATACACATGTTTAGAATGTAAGTGCAAATTCAGGCATTTTCAAGTTCTTTGTCAAATTATGTTTCATGCATGTATCTATGCAATGATTAAATAAAGGATTTTTGAGAAGTATAAATATTAGCAAGTCCAGAAATATACAGATTTTCAAAAGCAAAATGGTACAACCCATGTCCATTTCTGGGTTATGCAGATTGGAGAAATCCATTAAAATGTCCTAACAGAGCCATTTTTTCATACTCCTTGAGGCACAGCAATAATGGAATTGTCACAAAGTCACAATATTCTTAACTAAACATGGTTTTGAACACTGGCTTCTTTTGTCCCAATCTGACACTTTAGCAACTGCATTGGACTAACTCTTCACTGTTTCAGATGCTAAATAATTGATATATGTATTGGGGCAGGATATATGACTTAAGTCACATTTTAACATTATTTTATGATATCCATGCTATTAGTTTAGTATGGTATAGCTCTGTTGAGGCTCTGGGTTATATGAAATGAGAACTGAGGCTTTCCTGGTTTGTTTGCTGACTCATGGAATGGGAGGAAGAAAGGGGCTGCTTATAAGGGCAAAAGGCACAGAAAATTCGCAGTTTACTAACCTGGAATATAATCATCTATGCAGACATTCATGCTGAAGTGGTGAAGACCCTCAGCAACTTCAGTCAAAAATCTAGGGAAGGCCTCTTCTGAGATGTTGTAAGCCGCCCCAAGGCTTTGGCGAATGGGGCGGCATAAAAATGTTTTAATAAATAAATAAATAAATAAATAAATAAATAAATAAATAAATGTTGGGGAAGCACTGCCAGTCAGGTCAGCGCTGTCACTACTTGGTAGTCATGTCACCAACCTTGTAACTATCTTGTTCAGAATATAAATAATCCCCAAATGCTTGAAGACAATACAAAGAAAATTCAATTTCCTTCAGTGTTCCCTGCCTAGAATGGGAAAACATGATTCTCCACATGTCCCAGCACAAAAAAACCTTTGAGTCCAATTTGAGTTTGTCATGCTCACCTAACCTCACCCTCTCACCACATACACACACACACACACCCAAGTGATGCTCCCACATGGTTGTGAGAAAGAAGACACGCAGACCCAGATCCTGTCCAACCAAACTCTGGAAAGCTTCCTACAACCCAAGCAGACGGAGACTTTTATTATAGCCTCCACTAGCTACTGCACTAACCTCGAGTTTTATGATAATTGTAGCGTGTGGTGAAATGCTAAGATTTCTTCTCAGGTTACTCAGAGCTTTTCTTGGAAAAGCCCACTCCCAACGCTGCCAGATTCTCTGCAGGATTAAGATGAGATCGCTATATCAAGTTGATATGTTTGGCTTTCCCCCCAATTTCTGTATTTTCCACCTGACAACTTCTAGGTGGTACTGTAGTATTGTAGGCCCAAGTAGAACAAGGCAACTAACAAGGCTGGAGAGCTCTGCTTTGCTCACCATTCCAAAAAACCCGGCATATTCCCTGCCTTCCTTCAACACTGGAAAGCACATGAGGAAAATGGAGACTGGCAGTGTCAGCAAAAGCACCTGTAAAGAAGCACGAGTGAGGAATGATAAGCACACAAGAAAAGCCTCATCTAGAAAAACCTCAGTGAAAATTAAAGGGCCTGGAAAGCTTACATCTCACTGTTCTTGTCACAATGGTTTTAACTTTTAAGAGGTGCACCAGAAGGGGCGGCTGTAAATCACAAGAGGGTGCTCATTAGGAGGTTTTAGAGTACAAAGCACCTAATCTGGTCATGTGATTGGGGATGGAGGCCCACAGAAGATAAGTAAAACAATGGCTGCATTTAGACAACACGACATGCCATATTGTTTTTTTTTTAACCATTATTGATCTGTCATATTGTTTGAACGCAGTCATGATATTTCACCATGGTATCTTTGGTCTTTAGAAACCATAACAGGAAACAATGGTTTGCTCTATAGTTTCTCTGTACCACCATGGCTTGTCATGTTGCCTGAACCCAGGATCATGCTTTGCACTGTAATGCTATGCAAGCGCCAGAGAGTCTTCTGGAAAGAATGGCAACTGCATGAGCTGCTCTAGCCATCCAGGCTCTGTGTGTGGACCAAGGAGGAAGAGGCAGCTGACACAGAAATGTACTTTGGGATTGAATTTCAGGTGTCCCACCTGATGGGAAACATGCCAGTATTAGGAGGACTGCGCAGGAAGGATTGAAGCCAGTATAAAGTAGAAACCACTTGATCGTCAAGTGAATCTTGGGAAGAGGAGGAGGAGGAGGAAAGAGAACCACAGTAACGAAGCAGGGTTGCTTGCCATGTTGTGTGAACAGAGCCACTGTTTGAAGTGAGTGGGCATCTTTTTCCTTAGGCTTAGCAGCATACGGGCTGTTACAAATGCAGTAAGATCTCAGTTTGCTTGATTCAGGCCTTGAACTTGTTAAATTAGCTGGATGACTATATAACAACAATAAAAGCTGTGTCCTTATGCATCCCAGCCCCAGAGTGTGTGTGGCTCTTTTCCCCTTCAACACTCTCACTCTGAGCACAACCTACACTTTTTATGTACTGCTTTTAAAGACCTCTGTGTATTAAGTAATACCATAATGCGCTTCCATAAGACTATATATTCAATTATTTGCAGCAATGATGTGTACTAACATTTCAAATATCAGTAAACATGCAGGGGGAATCTAATCATTTAAATTAACAAATGCAAAGTTACAATTTTGCAATGAGATATTTAATGCTTAACTGTAGAAAAGGTAGATGAAAGGCATCATTTGTTGTGCATTCTGTGAGAACCACAAATTATCTTCCACAATTGCATGCAAATAATTTTCAAATGAATTGCAGATTATTTTTATATACTCACTGTATACCTAATCATGGAAGTTCCTACAGGAATGCCCTTCATTTATAAAGCACTGACACGGCCATCCGCTGCTAAAATACTGAAATTATCTGCCAGTTTTTTTTAACTTCTCAACTAAAAGGGATGAAAGCAGTTTTCCAAGATATGAAGCTGAGAAGGTAAATATGCTTTATTGTGTTCTAGTATAGAAACATGTTCTAATATATATGCCTGAGAAATGCAAAAATTCCCTGTGCCATTTCACTTTTAGGAACTGTATGCAAACAGTCACGTGAATTACTTTTACTTTGTAATTTTGTAATTTCACTTGAACTTACAAAAATCCTATATTTTCATGAACTGGGTATGCAATGTCTGGGGAGGAAATACATGAATTCACAGTCAGATAAAACAAGTTAGAGGTCTGGATGCAAATGCATGAATGCATACATAGCAGCTGTGGGCAAGACTCAGGACCTCTGATGGGAGGAGGAGGCAGTTTGATTTTCTCACCCTGTCATGGTCTTGACAAAAAGAACCTCTTGAAAGCTGTCACTTGCCTTGTAAGGACCCCTCCATGATGTCAAGGGGAGCTACTCTGGAAATGCATATAGCAGCTTCAGAGAAGATTTTGCTTGGGGCCACAGGAAAAGGAAATATATCAACCCTTACCTTTTCCCAAGGCTGTTCAGTCATCTTAGGGGCTGCTATTTACCCATTTACCT